GAGGACAAGCCCAGCAGTGTCTGAGCCCATGGTGAGCAGAATGTTGGGTCAGTGGGCCAGGAGAGCAGAGACAAGGAAACAGCTAAAGCCAAGCCTAGTGCAGCCACTTCCATTGGGTTGTGACCTGAATACCACCTTAATCTAGTTTCCCATGGAGCAAAGGAGGTGCATGAGGGCTGGAGAGAGCAGGGGGCTGTGATGGGATCATCCCAGGGACTGATGCTCTCTGGGCAGCTGGTTGTGTGGGCTTGGTGCAGATGTGCAGGACAACACCCACCCAACCTCCTGCTCCCAAATCTCATAGCAGATGAAAACTGATGTCAAAGCAGAGCAGCTGGGGCACTGCAGGGCAGATCCTGCCCACAGAGTGTCAGAACCACAGCCCAGCTCTGTTTCTGGTCAGGCTCTGCACCTCCCTTGCAGCCTCCAAGGTAGCTCCTGGTCATTTCTAACAGCTGCAATGTTCCAGGGTCTGTCCTGGCAAGCCAGCTGTAATTAAGGTGCTATTAAGTATACAAATGAACAGGGCAAAATTCTGTTTTCTCTCATGGTTTTGAAATGCATTGCCAAAACCTCAAGCATCTTCAGCAAAGGCTTACACATTCCTGCAATTTTTGCAGTGTTCAGTACAACCTTCATTCCCAAACAGATGCTTTATGATTGCAATACCCAGAAGAAAACTCCTTGAAGCTCACAGCTGGTAAATTCAAAGGAAACAATTAAAACCTCTCTGATTTTCCCAGTCTCCAGGTGACCTCACTGTCTCCAACCTGCATATGACCTTGCTTGCTGACTCTGGACACTAATTTCTCGTGCCATGTCTCTTCCAGATACTTTCTCATTCCTGATACTGATTTTAGAGGCTTCCTACATGGAGGGTCATCCACCAGTGTTCTTGTGCTCCCCAAGCAAGATGTGAGCCACAGCACCAAGGTGCTTGTGGCAGCAGCAGCTTTGTGTGTGTTCATGAAGGGTTTTAGAGGCAGCACTTCACTCCCAGCCAAAGGACAGCCAGCTCTGGACAGGGGTCCAGCACTGTCCCCAGAGTGGGACATGCTGGGAAGTGCCCAGGGAGATGTGAGATGAGGGCATCCAGTGCTAACCCCATCCTGAATCCCACAGGAGCCCCTTCCCTTTGGGGTCCCTGCAGCAACATCTCCTGCTCACATGGAAGGGGCATGGAAAGCTGTGCTGGGGTGGTGGCTGCTGTCCCTGTCACCCCGGTGGGACAGGGCTGGGGGGGGGCTTGGGGTTTTGCTTTGAAGGGGGCCTTGCATGACCAGGCTGAGCCAGAGGGACGTGGCCAGGCTGGCAGTGCTGGCCTGTCACCTCCTGTCCTGCTGCAAGCAGACATTCCCACTGGATGGAAATATGCCCGAAATAGCCCCTCTGCAGATTGTCTTTATCTAATCAGCCTCCTTTGCACCCCCCTCCAGTGCATTTCAGGGAGCTGATAGCAGTGATATGTTAAGTGTGGAAACCTCTAGCAAACTGCCCGACACATAGAGTAATTCTCCTTCCTGCCACTTATCAGAGCCTGCTAATGGGAAACATTCCTCCTGGGGGTCGGGGAGCAGCTGGGGGATTTCTCTGGAGAGGGTGGCTGAGCCCCTGGCACCCTCCTGGCTCTCCAGGGCTGGGTAGTAGCTCATCTGACCACAAAACACTCACTGGAGGGGAAGCTCTGCAGTTTGGTGCTGGTGGTGTCCTGTCCCACGGGGAGAGGCTTGTCCAGCCCTTGGGGCTCAGCTGAGGAGCTCCATCCTTTTCCATCATATTGTGGGACACCAACACAAGCACAGAGCTATGGAGGGAAAAACAGGAGTCTCAGTGGTCAGGGAGATGGTCCCACTGCTGAAGATGGTCGTGCAGGGCTGGTGGGACATTCAGGAAGACTGCTTTGGGCAAGACACACCTAAAGCAAAGTCCCTTCTCCTCAGGCCAAACCATGGGCTTCTCACTGTGCCTATGGCATTTTGTGGGAGGTCCATAGGAGCCCTCTGTGGCCATTGCCCCACTGGGAATGCCCTGCCAGCTCAGGCCTTGCCAGCAACACAAGGATGAGCTTCCCACCACCCTGAAAACCACATCACAAACACCAAAAACCCCCAAACCCATCGGAAGTGCCCTTCAGCAGCTGCTGGAGCGACCGCTCCACATTCCCCCTTCTACAGATCTGCTCAGCCTTTGATGGACCCTGCTGGAACCTCTTCAAAGAGGGAGAGAAACCAGGGCGAACAGAAGGAACTGCAGGAGGGATCTCCGAAAATAAAATCGCTTTAAAGATAAGGCAGGGGAGGGGGTGAGCAGAGAGCGGGGCGGGCACATGCCCTGAGAAGAATGTGTGAGGATGGACCAGCTGGTGGGTCTGGGCCAAGAGCTCGTCCCACTGCTGGGGCTCTTGTGGCAAAGGTACTTGGCACCAGACCCACCAAAGGCCTCGGGTCCTTCCAGGGAGTGGGTGGAAACCTGACTCCGAGCCCAGGACAGAGAGGCAGAAGACCACCAGGGTAACCTCAGAGGGACCTGTGGTCCACCAGAGCCCGTGGCTTTTTAAGATGTTGGAACTCTGCCATCTTGGCAAGATTGAGCACCTCTCATGCCATGGTCAAAAGGGACCTCAGGAATGGTGTCCCCATGGTCTCCCCAGGGGATTTGCATCAGTGGAGTCCAGCGCTGCACCAGCTGCTGCCAGATCCTGATCTGTGCTTCTGAACACCAGCCTGGTGAGGAGAGCCTACATGGGAAATGGGAACCTGCATCCCTTTTCATCCTGATGTGCTCAAAGTCCTTGTTTGTGCTACAGACTCTACTCCATGGGAGTATTTGAATTCATGGGGAAGTCTGGCACTGTGCAAGGCTCTGACATTGCACTGTGCAGCCAGTGAAGGCAACATCAACCTGTCCCTCAGCCCAGCATCCTCCCTGCTGGGGCTCAAGCTACAGGGGACATGTCTGGAGTCCTCCTCCATCCCATGAATCCCCCAGAGTTCACTCCAAAGCAGGGAGGGAGGGCAGGGCCCCGTCTGTCAGGGGGGTGCAGAGGAGATGGCACTGGGCACCCAGACAGCATAGCAGCAAACCATGTGTGTGTGCTGGAAGGACTGACCACGCCTGGGCCTTCAGCAGAAAGCCCCTCCAGTGCCTGGCTGGGATTCAGGGCAGGTGCTGGGGCTGCAAAAATCTCTGCAACCTGGGCTGTGTGCCCAGGCTGAAGCCACATGCCCAAAGCAGCCTCCGGTGCTGCTATTCTGGCCGTGGCAGAGGCCACACCACATCCAGCCTGGGCACAGCACTGCACAGATAATCCTTAACCACTCCCTGCCTCAGTTTCCCCTTCTCTCAGGAGAATACAAAGCCAAATTACTTTGGGATGTGTGGGGTACTGAGTGGGGAATATCAAACCCAGGCCCTGGTTCTCTGGGGTAGAAACCTCACTGCACTTTGGATGCCAGCAGATAAGTGGCTTTTCCTTGAGCCTGGCACAGAAATCCCTGTGGCAGGGCTGTGGGTCTGGCTGGCCCCCACTGTGCCCTGTGCCCATCTTGAGCAGCCCATGGTGGTTCTGCCAGGATGGAGATGTGCTCCAGGCTGCAATCACCGTGTTCTTCACAGAGCCTTTGGGTGCTGCCTGGTAAAATGGTGTGCAGGAAGCCCAGAAGCCTGTCTGATGAGAGATTATGAACCTGGCCTAGTCACAAACCAAGCTCCCATGCCAAGGTGAGGAGCTCTGGGAGCACAACCTGGCGTTCCAAGCCCCAGAGTCCTTCCCTTTCTGAGCAGACTGTCCAGGAGAGGCTTAACCAGAGCTCAGTGAGAGTTTGGGATGCTCCAGCTGGGAAAGCAGGGACCACACAGATCCCACCAAGCAGCAGCTCTCCTGGCAGGGAGCAGGGAAGGAGCAGGGGGACCGAGAGCTCAGGTGCAGGAGGAACCAGCTGAGCTCTCATTCCTCAGCTCCCCACCAGAACCAGCAGTGCAGGCAGGCTGGGAGCGCTGCTCTGCCTTCCCAGGCTGGAGTGTCTCACCCTGCCTTTGTACTCGCCTGACAATACAGGAATAAAAATAACCAGGCTGCATTTGCAGAGAGATAAAAGTGAAGTTTGCCTTTTGTGTCTGTCCGGGCAGTGGGACAGCAGCACCAATGGAGCTGTGTGGACATGACACATGGGAATTTCTGACATATCTTTTCCCACTCTGACCTTGAGAGACACAATAAAAAGGGGCTTTGCAGCACTCACACAGCCACTCAGTCCTAGCACCAAGGTTAGTAATACAGAGCATGTCTGTGTGCACGTGTGTCCCCGCTACTAACCCGCTTCACCTCTGCAGGGTGGATGTTCCCAGAGGACAGGGGAGGGTGGGACAGACCAGGACCAAGAGCATTTTTGCTGAGGACTGTGTGTTTTGCCACGCTGTGGCTCCATTTGTGGTGGCTGTGGCGTTCCAGAGCTCTGCTGGGTGATACCACATTAGATGGATATTAGAAAGCACAATCATACAAGTGCTTTTTCCAAGCAGCTGCCACAGTGGCCTTCCAGAAGGGTCTTCCCAGGGATAATACATCCAGCCTTGCTTTTATCCTCCTGCAGTGTCACTCTGCAGAACAGACCTGGGTCATTGCAGAGGGTTTGTGCAGGACACCGGGGCTCCAACAGGAGCTGGGATGGATTTTAGCTGAGTTTATCAAGAAAATGGGTGTCATTGACAATCTCACCTAAAGTGTAAATGTGGATTTAGACACCGAAGCGATACCAGCTCACGCAGCTGGGACTTCCAGTGCAGGGTTGAGAGCAGCAGAAGGGAAAGTGTTCTGGAATTGCCTGGTTGTTATAATTTTTATTAGCTAGTATTGTTGTCACTGTCTTCTCTCACTCTCTAAAATTAAAAGCATGTTGCTCTTGGTTCTCAACCCACGAGTGTGTGCTTGCCCATGCACTGACTCTTTGTCCCTTCCCTCCTTTCAGTATCCAGGTGTCTTTCACTCTTCCTTCAGTGCTGCCAAGTGTTTCTCCAGCTGGACAAGATGTCTATGCTGGACATGAGTGAGTTTGGGGAGGCTGCTCCGTACCTCCGGAAAAGCTACACGGAGCAGCTGAAGCTCCAGACAATCCCCTTCGATGGTAAGAGCCCAAAGCAGCTCAGCACAGCCTATGTGAGTGCCCTGAGGCAGCCCCTTGGAGCTCTCCTGGGAGTCCATCTCTGTCCCTTTTCCAGTGCTGCCCTTCAAGCAGGGACTCCAGGCTTCCCCCAGCACGTGGGAAGGATAATTCCCTCAAAAGTGGGAAAAGCGGGTTTTTTACTTTCCCTTTATTTGCTGAGGTGTGGGTGGAGGTGGCCCTTCATCTCCCCTGACACTGAGGGGCAGCAGGGCTGAGGGACTGGTGTCAAAGCCTTCTCCAGCTCTATTTCATTTGGGAAGTGTCCTCTCTGTCCCAGCCACCCTGCTTTTCCTTGGTTTGCTGTGCTTGGGCTCCAGGGCCCAACTTTGCTCCTCTCAACTGGGCAAACAAGGAGTGTGTTGCTTGCTCACACTGTCCTTTTTTATGATGGTTTGAGTGCAGGCACACATGAAGCAGAAGGTTTCAGGCTAGAATTCAACCCCAGCTGAGTAAACAGCTTAAAAATATGAAGAAGGTGAAATAATCCTAGCTCCTATGACCAAAAACATAGGAAGGAATAATCACTGTCCTTCCATGTTATCAAACTGCATTTATGTGGCTTTCAGTTGACCATTTCAAATGGTTTCCTACATTTCAACCTGTATTATGTCTCCTTTTCTTTCCTTTTTCCTTTCCTTTTCCCTTCCCTTCCCTTTCCTTTCCTTCCCCTCCTCCAGGAAAGAAGCGAGCTTGGATCCCAGATGAGAAAGAAGCCTATATAGAAGTGGAAATCAAAGAAAGCTCTGGTGGCAAAGTCACTGTGGAAACCAAAGATAAGGAAGTAAGCAAAATACCTTTCCTTTTCCAAGGGACAGCAAGTGTGTGCGGAGGGGGGATACGTGTGACAAGATCACGTCCGAAATGAGGAGCTCTGGCTGATAACCCTGCCCCGCTCGCTGATCGGTCATGCCCCGGGGGGACACACACAGCACTGTCAGGACACGTAGGCCACTTAGTTGCCAAGAGTGGCTGCGGTTCAGCATCCCCCCATCGAGTGTTTGCTGTCGAACGCGGGTTATCGTGACAGGCAGAGCGAGGGGACAGTCGGGCTGGCCCCGCGCAGCCTCTGGGTGGAGAAGGACCGGCTGCCCAGAGGCAGCGCCGGCTCCATCACAGCCCTGTGTGATGCTGAACCGCTGCCCGGCTCATCCCGAAGGCTGAAACAAGAGGTAAGGGGCCGACTGGCCGATTCCTGCTCGTTTTAGCCTGGATTTGCAGCAGGAGAACAGGCGCTGGGCACAGGGGTTGGACAGGCTGTCTGGTGGTGAGGCTTCAGCTTTCCAGCAGTGGGAGGGAGGCAAAGCTAGCAAGGACCAGCTGGTATTTGTCAAGATAATATCCAGCACAATTAGCTGCAAATGAGCTTAATTAATATTCCTTTCTTGGCTGTGGGAGTCTCATGGCCCTGCAACTTCATTGCAGAGCAGAGACCCACCCTGGTGTGAAACTGGGAAAAAGAACAAGGATCTGACCAGGCAGCAAATAGTAGATTTTATTATTTCTATCTCTCTGCTAGACAGAATGGCACTTAGAAGTGCTCATGTCTGCCAAATTTAAAAGAAATATATATAATCATCCTTGAAAACTGTTAAGGCTTTGGAAATATTTTTGTCTGAGACTGGGAAAACAAGTAAAGAGATTTGTCCCAATTTATTGGGGAGGGGGTATAAATTTTAAAAATTTATTCTGCTGTTGAGAACGCCTTCAGCAATTTCCAAATCTTTTTAGCTGTTTCCTCTTGAAAGACTTTTTTAACAATTTGTCACGGATTTACAAAATCAGAAACTATATCAGAAACTGGATCAGCATTTCCAGCAGAAACAGATTCAAGAGAGGCATAAACCCATCCTTATCCTTCTGTCTACCCTCCTGCTTCTAACACCTAACACCTTTTAACACCACATACTTTATCTTCACCCATAAAAAAAACCTCTGAAAGGTTTCATTTCATCTTTATTAACAAGACCAATTGCTAAATCCAGCTTGTCCCATCCAGGCCAGATACGTAACGCGATAGTTTCCCCGTGCTTGGCTTCATGGGATTAAATAAATCCAGTTTTAAGTGAAGGGGTACAGGCTTCAGCTGTTTGCACAGAGATTGTGCTGCCACAGGCTTTTAGGCTGTGAAGAAGAGCATGGGATGGCGGTGTCAAGCACATTTTGGGGGGACATACTGGTACTCCTTGGCTTGGACTCCTGTCAGGCTCCGCCACAGCCCATCTCCTGGAGCAGGGAGCAAGTCTGGGGCTTGCTTATCCCAGCTGGGCTTTGTGTCTGGGTGCTGGTGGGGCTCCCCTAGCCCTGTCACCCCGAAATGAGGGTGACAGCAGATATGGGGCCAGGGCTGTCCCCAACATGGGACTATCAGGATGTCCACCAACCCCTCAGGCTTTGGGGCAGGGGGTGTTTGGGGGGGTCTGGGGTCCATCTGATGTGTGCCCCCTCCTCTGGCAGACGCGGGTGGTGAAGGAGGACGAGGTGCAGCCCATGAACCCCCCCAAGTTCGACATGATTGAGGACATGGCCATGCTGACACACCTCAACGAGGCCTCCGTGCTCCACAACCTGAAGCGCCGCTACTCCCACTGGATGATCTACGTAAGGCCACAGCACCCGGGGGGTCACCCCGTGGGCTGGGGGGGTGAAAGGGTGCTGGGACACCCTCATCCCTCACCCACCCATT